TTGGTTGCTTTCCCCTTGTTTTGGCTGCTTTCACCCAGTTTTGGGTGCTATCCCCCCCTGTTTTGGGTGCTATCCCCCCTGTTTTGGGTGCTTTCACCCTATTTTGGGCCCTTCCCTTCTGTTTTTGGTGCTTTCACCCTTTCCCTGTGTGCTTGCGCCCTCTTCTGGTGCTTCCACCCTGTTTTGGGGTGATTTCACCCAGTTTTAGGATATTAACCCCGCTATTTTGGGTCCTTTCACCCTGTTTTGGGGTCCTTTCATGCAGTTTTAGGTGCTATCCCCCACATTTTGGGTCCTTTCACACTGTTTTGGGTGCTTTCACCCAGTTTTAGGAGCTTTCCTTCCTGGTTTGGGTGCTTTCACCCTATTTTGGCTCCTTCCCCGCTGTTTTGGGGTGCTTTCACCCTTTCCCTGGGTGCTTGCGCCCTCCTCTGGCTGCTTTCCCCCCTCTTTTGGGTGCTTTCCCCTTGTTTTGGGTGCTTTCACCCACTTTTAGGTGCTATCCCCCTCTGTTTTGGGTGCTTTCACCTTCTTTTGGGTCCTTTCACCCAGTTTTAGCAGCTTTCCCCCCTGTTTTAGGTGCTTTCCCCCTGTTTTGGGTCCTTTCATCCTGTTTTAGGTGCTTTCCCCCTGTTTTGGGTGCTTTCACCCCGTTTTGGGTGCTTTCACCCAGTTTTAGGAGCTTTCCTTCCTGTTTTGGGTGCTTTCACCCTGTTTTGGGTGCTATCCCCCCCCTGTTTGGGGTCCTTTCATCCTGTTTAAGGTGCTTTCCCCTTGTTTTGGGTGCTTTCACCCAGTTTTGGGAGCTTTCCTTCCTGTTTTGGGTGCTTTCACCCTATTTTGGGTCCTTCCCCTCTATTTTGGGGTGCTTTCACCCTTTCCCTGGGTGCTTGCGCCCTCCTCTGGCTGCTTTCCCCCCTCTTTTGGGTGCTTTCCCCTTGTTTTGGCTGCTTTCACCCAGTTTTGGGTGCTATCCCCCCCTGTTTTGGGTGCTATCCCCCCTGTTTTGGGTGCTTTCACCCTATTTTGGGTGCTTGCACCTTGGTTTGGGTGCTTTCACCCAGTTTTAGGAGCTTTCCTTCCTGTTTTGGGTGCTTTCACCCTATTTTGGGTCCTTCCCCTCTATTTTGGGGTGCTTTCACCCTTTCCCTGGGTGCTTGCGCCCTCCTCTGGCTGCTTTCCCCCCTCTTTTGGGTGCTTTCCCCTTGTTTTGGGTGCTTTCCCCCAGTTTTAGGTGCTATCCCTCCTGGTTTGGGTCCTTTCACCCCGTTTTGGGTCCTTTCACCCTGTTTTGGCTGCTTTCCCCCCTGTTTTGGGTGCTATCCTCCTCGGTTTGGGTCCTTTCACCCTCTCCCTGGGTGCTTTCCCCCTGTTTTGGGGTGCTTTCATGCAGTTTTAGGTGCTATCCCCCACATTTTGGGTCCTTTCACACTGTTTTGGGTGCTTTCACCCAGTTTTAGGAGCTTTCCTTCCTGTTTTGGGTGCTTTCACCCTATTTTGGCTCCTTCCCCGCTGTTTTGGGGTGCTTTCACCCTTTCCCTGGGTGCTTGTGGCCTCCTCTGGCTGCTTTCCCCTTGTTTTGGGGTGCTTTCACCCAGTTTTAGTTTCACCCAGCTTTCTGCCCTGTTTGGGCTCCTTTCCCCTTGTTTTGGGTGCTCTCACCCTCTTTCGGGTTCTTTCACCCTCTCCCTGGGTGCTTGTGCCCTCCTCTGGGCGCTTTCACCCTGTTTTGGGGTGCTCTCACCCAGTTTTAGGAGCTTCACCCCGTTGTTTCGGGTGCTTTCACCCAGTTTTGGGCTACTTTCACCCATTTTTCGGTTCTATCCCCCCTCTTTTGGGTGCTTTTCCCCCTCTTTTGGCTTCATCGACTCCGTTTTGGCTGCCTTCACCCTCGCCCACCCCGGGATGCTCCCACCCCCCCACACCCCCTGCACCCATGGGTGCTTCTCCCTTCCCACTCCTCTGTCCCCTCCCCAGGTCTCCCACCGCGCCACATGGACTCCGTGGTTCGCATCGTGGAAGCCCTCGAGTCGACCGACCCCGGTTTCACCGGCACCGTGCCGGAGCTGGCGCGGGCGCTGGGTGGTTGCAGCACCCCGGGGTGCCGCGCGGTGTTGGGAGAACCACCCGAGGTGCCACCAGCTCCACCGACGCTCAACCACGAGCAGTGGCTGCTCTTCACCCAACTCCTCCACCACGACGCCGCGGCACCCGAGAGCGGCGCGGTGCTGGCACCCGACGGCTCCACCGTCGCCCTCGCTCCCCTCTTTGCCGGCATCGAGGGTGCCCTCAAGCGGGCGTCGGGGTGGTCCTTCCCCACCACGGAGCCACCCGTCGACGCGCTCTACGCCGTCACCATCACTGAGGCTTTGGCGACGTCCTTCCTCCTGGCTCGGGATGGTGATGGCAACCGAGCCACGCTGGGACCCGGCGGCTGTTGGGATGACGTGGACGATCCCCAAAACTACACCCTGTTGGGACCCCCGTCGCCCGTCCCCGATGCCATCGCCAACGGGGCGATGGATGGGGTGCTGCTGGGTGCCCACCTGGCCCGAGAACCCATCCCACTCGCCGAACTTCTCCGGGGCTACTACGGGACGGACAACGGCACGGAGAAAGGGCGACCACCCAGCAGTTACCGGCGGAGAGATTTCGGGGTGTTAACGGGCCCGGGGAAGCTGGAGGAGGAGGTGGCGGCCATGCTGAGGGTGCTGCGGGTGCTGCCACCCACCCAAGAGCTCTTGGAGGAGGTGGGACCGGAGGAGGTGGTGGCCATCGCTCGCCAAGCGGCGCGGGACTTCACGGAGGTCTATGTGGGTAGGGAGGTGGCACCGGGTCGTGATATCACATCTGCCCCATCCCCTCCAAAAAAATTGGGTGGGAGGATGGGTGGAGAGCTGCACCCGGGGTGGGGCTGGGGTCCCCGGTGTCACCCCTGTGTAGGTGGCATTGGGGGGAGTCAAGCTCTGAGAGCTGACTGGTGACATGGAGCCTGGCATGGTGGGACACTACCATGTCCCCTGGATGAAGACCCACAGGTCCCCTGGATGGACACCAGTGGGTCCCCCAGATGGACACTGGTGTGTCCTCTGGATGGACGCTACTGTGTCCCCAGATGGTGGGCCCTTGATGGGCACCACCACATCTCCTGGATGGACATTGGAGTGTCCCCATGATGGACACCTGCAGGTCCCTTGGATGGACACCAGTGTGTCCCCTGGATGGACACCACTATGTCCCCAGATGGTGGTCCCTTGATGGGCACCACCACATCCCCTGGATGGACTTTGGTGTGTCCCCATGATGGACACCGTTGTGTCCCCAGATGGTGGTCCCTTGATGGGCACCACCACATCCCCTGGATGGACTTTGGTGTGTCCCCATGATGGACACCGTTGTGTCCCCAGATGGTGGTCCCTTGATAGGCACCACCACATTCCCTGGATGGACATTGCTGTGTCCCCATGATGGACACCTGCAGGTCCCTTGGATGGACACCAATCTGTCCCCTAGATGGACACTGGTGTGTCCCCTGAATGGACACCACTATGTCCCCAGATGGTGGTCCCTTGATAGGCACCACCACATTCCCTGGATGGACATTGCTGTGTCCCCATGATGGACACCTGCAGGTCCCTTGGATGGACACCAGTGTGTCCCCTGGATGGACACCACTATGTCCCCAGATGGTGGTCCCTTGATGGGCACCACCACATCCCCTGGATGGACTTTGGTGTGTCCCCATGATGGACACCGTTGTGTCCCCAGATGGTGGTCCCTTGATAGGCACCACCACATTCCCTGGATGGACATTGGAGTGTCCCCATGATGGACACCTGCAGGTCCCTTGGATGGACACCAGTGTGTCCCCTAGATGGACACTGGTGTGTCCCCTGAATGGACACCACTATGTCCCCAGATGGTGGTCCCTTGATAGGCACCACCACATTCCCTGGATGGACATTGCTGTGTCCCCATGATGGACACCTGCAGGTCCCTTGGATGGACACCAGTGTGTCCCCTGGATGGACACCGGTGTGTCCCCAGGTGGTGGTCCCTGGCTGGCCACCACCATGTCCCCTGGCTAATGAATCCCTGGGCACTGCTTTGTCCCCTGGATGGACACTGATGTGTCCCCTGGCTGGCCACCACCATGTCCTCGAGATGGACATTGCTGTGTCCCCTGGGTACTGGACACAGCACCAGTGTGTCCCCTGGATGGACACCGGTGTGTCCCCAGGTGGTGGTCCCTGGCTGGCCACCACCATGTCCCCTGGCTAATGAATCCCTGGGCACTGCTTTGTCCCCTGGATGGACACTGATGTGTCCCCTGGCTGGCCACCACCATGTCCTCGAGATGGACATTGCTGTGTCCCCTGGGTACTGGACACACCCTTCCCCCCAGCCAAGGGACACCCTGAGCAGGTGCTTCACGTCCCCTAGATGAGGGCACCCCAGGAGGACACTACCATGGCCCAAGCCATGGTAGTTCCCAAGCTGGGCAGATGCTCCGTGTCCCCAAGACCCCAAGGGGACGCTGCCGTGTCCCCAAATTCCCTTGGGACCAGGCAAGTCCCCTTCTTCCACCGCCTGCCTTCCCCCGCAGAGTGCCCAGCCATCGTGCCCCGGTGCATGTGGGGTGCCCGTCCCTACCGGGGCACCCCCAAACCGTTGACCCTCCCCTTGGGCTCCGTCTACATCCACCACACCTTCGTACCCAGTGCCCCGTGTCGCACCTTCACCGCCTGCGCCCGCGACATGCGCGCCATGCAACGCTTCCACCAGGACACCCGCGGTTGGGATGACATCGGCTACAGGGGAGAACCCGTCACCGTCACCTCACGGTCGTCCCCGTCACCCATTTTCGGGTGACTCAGGTTGACCCGTGGGTACTTGCAGCTTCGTGGTGGGGTCGGATGGGTACCTGTACCAAGGCCGAGGTTGGCACTGGGTTGGTGCCCACACCAAAGGCTACAACAGCAAAGGCTACGGCGTGGGCTACGTTGGAGACTTCTCGGCCACCTTGCCGGACCCTGACACCATCGCCCTGGTGCGGGACTGGCTCCGGCCCTGCGCCGTGCGGACCGGCCGGCTCCACCACAACTACACCCTACGTGGCCACCGCCAGATGGGACACACCGACTGCCCCGGCAACTCCCTCTTCCACGAGATCGAGACCTGGCAGGGCTTTGAGGTGGGCACCAAGCTCTGCGGCATCTCCAGGGGTTGGAGGTTTGGTGGCCAGTTGGGATGTCTGGTCCAGACCAGCATGGCCGGGAGGATGGGGGTTTGGTGGGGGTGGATGTGGGAGGTGATGCTGGGACTGATCATGGTTTCTTCTCTCTTCTACAGTGAGGACCAACCCCGTGGGTCCTGGTCTGGATGGGTGTGGGCAAGGTTGGATCGTGGTCTAGATGGATCTTGGTCCAACGGGTGATGGTCTGGAAGGACCTTGGTCCAATAGATGTTGGCCCCAATGGATGACAGCCTGGATGGACCCTGGTCCAGATGGACACCAGTATGATGGCCATCAGCCTGGATAGACCCTGGTCCAGATGGCCATCAGACTGATGGCCACCAGCCTGGATGGGCCCTGGTCCAAGTGGGTGTGGCCAAGGTTGGATCATGGTCTAGATGGATCCTGGCCCAATGGGTGATGGTCTGGAATGACCTTGGTCCAATAGATGTTGGCCCCAATGGATGACAGCCTGGATGGGCCCTGGTCCAGATGGCCACCAGACTGATGGTTGTTAGTCTGGCTGGACCCTGGTCCAGATAGACACCAGTCTGATGGCCACCAGCCTGGCTGGGCCCATGACCTTGGTCCAATAGATGTTGGCCCCAATGGATGACAGCCTGGATGGGCCCTGGTCCAGATGGCCACCAGACTGATGGCCACCAGCCTGGATAGACCCTGACCCAATGGATGCCAACCATGATGGAGACTGGCCCAGAAGGACCTCAACCTTGAAGACTACCAGCCTCGACAGATCCTGGCCCAGGTGGGCACCAGCCTGGACTGATCCTGTCCCTGCCCCACTGGCCCAGCAGACCATCCCAGTAGCCACAATAAAGTCAGCACCAGGACATCAGCTTTGGGTGGTCCCTGGAGAGCAAGAGGGCAACTGAGGCACGGGGTGGGGTTGGCCATGGGGTCATAGGAGAGGACTCAAGTGAGGGACCAAGGTCCCCAGGACCTGCTGCAGGGCTGTGACACACACACGTGTGTGTGTGTGCGCGCGCGCACACGTGTGCACATGTATGTGCCCAGGCGACACTGTCCCCCCATAACCCACCTTGAAGACCCCACATGACCCCTAAGGAGACCCCCTCCCCCACATCCATACCCCCCTCCTAGATTGCCACAACTCCCCCCCCCCCCAGGTGGCACCCAGAGGGGCCGCCACCCCCA